TCTGGGTCTAAGGTTTTGTATCTGTCTGTGTCTAAGGTTTTGTGTCTCTGTCTCTGTCTGTGTTTGTGTCTGCCTGCATCTGTGTTCATGAAGTTCATCATTTCTGATTCTGTGTGAAGGCTGAGGCCATTTCCTCACATCGTGGACAGGGAAGCCCACTTCTGAGGATAGGGGAGCCTCTCACACTCACTGGTGGAGTGACGGTCCCACTCATCGCCTGCCCTCAGTGGCCACTGTGTCCCTGAGCTCTGTCTCTGAACACTGTCCCTGAGCTCTGTCACTGCACGGTGTCCCTGAGCTCTGTCTCTGAACACTGTCCCTGAGCTCTGTCCCTGTACTGTGTCCCTGAACTCTGTCCCTGAGCTCTGTCTCTGAACACTGTCCCTGAGCTCTGTCTTTGAATACTGTCTCTGAGCTCTGTCCCTGAACTGTGTCCCTGAACTGTGTCCCTGAGCTCTGTCCCTGAGCAGTGTCCCTGAATTGTGTCCCTGGACTCTGTCCCTGAGCTCTGTCCCTGAGCAGTGTCCCTGAGTTGTCCCTAAGCTCTGTCCCTGAGCAGTGTCCCTGAGCTCTGTCTCTGAACACTGTCCCTGAACTCTCCCACTTGCTAGTATGAGTATTAAGCTATCCCCAGAGTGAATTTGAAGACTTTTTACGATCACTAAAGAAAACGTGTCAGGAATGTCATTCCCGTGGTCTTGAGAATCTGACGCCTGCCCTGCTTTGGCTGTCACACTCCCTCCCCACAGCCCTTGGGAGGCAGCTGCCAGCTTTGGTGGTTTGCGGGCTGACGGGCACCCTGCCAGACAGGCCCCTCCCCTCAATGCACCTGGCCCGGCACGGTTAGCTGCCTCCCCCACTACTGTCTGTGAAAATGAGGCAGTGACCATTGACCATTACCGGCTGCTTGCTCTTGGCCTGTGTGTTCCACAGCCAAGCTCCCAAATCCTCACATAAACCTGTGGGGCAGGCCCTGCTATTCAAGGGTGTATCCTGCCCGGACTGTCACACTTCTGAGTGTCACAGCCAGCCCACGGGGAGGCAGTGTGACCGGGAAGTGTGACACTTCCTTCTACTTCCCATGCTGCCTAGGCACAAGCCACCGTGCCATTGTCCTCATGTTTCCTACCCTCAGCCCCAGCCAGGCTTTCAGGGACACACTTTGCCTTTTCACATTGTTCTCAGACAAGCACCTGTGTGTGTGCGCATACACATGCGCTCGTACACACACACACACACACACACACAAATACACACACACACTTCAAACCACAGAATCAATTTCTAGACTGCATTGTGGACTTTCCAAGCGAAGGCAATGGGTCTGTCCATGTATGTGGGCGTTCATTTCTCCCCTCTCCTGTCTGTAACCTGCCGGCCAATTTGTCTCCCCAAGGAGAGGTGAGAGCTGAGGGCTGCTCTGGGCCATCACAGGCCACACGCACCTTGTCGATGAAGGCCGCGAACTTGCTGTTGAGGCACTTGATCTGCTCCTTCTCCTCATGCTTCACGCACTGAGCATTGGGGTCGATCTCCAGGTTGAGGGGCGTGAGCAGGCTCTCGTTGACGGAGACGGTGGTGATGCAGGGAGGGCTGGGCCCGCAGACGCCCCCTGAGCGGTACCCGAAGCTGCGTCCGCAGGAGCCGGCGCGGAAGCCTCCAACAGCCATGCGTGGCCCACAGGGACTCGGGTTGCAGAGGCTTCGGCTGCTGAAGCCGGTCAGTCCCCGGTAGCAGGACACTCCTCGGAAGGGCGCAGCGCTGATACAGCAGCGGCTGCCGGTTTTGGGGGCCACCGCGGAGCAGGAGCTGAAGTTTCTGGTAATGCCACACCCTGGGCTGATCCTGTAGGAACGACAGGACATGGTGTGAGCCGGACGGGGTCTTGGTGGCCGTGGGGTTTGGTGTCAGCTGCCGAGTGTGAGAACTGCAATCCTTTGGGTCTCTCTGATCCTCTGCGGTCCTTTTATTGGCGAGGAGAGCTGGGGTTGGCTGTGTAAAAGCAGTGAAAAGCCATTTTATGTTGTTTATAGGCTTGGGGAGGTTGCCAGCAACTCCTCACGGACTCGTCTTAAAGGTGAGCTCAGAGGCGACTCAGCCTGGAATGGCTTGAAGATGTTATTAGGACCACTGCACAGCACTTTTCATCTTCAAAGCTCCTTACACACATTAAGTAATTAATTTTCACACGGTCTCTCTGAGATGGCCTCAACCCACACCTGGAGACAGATTTGAACTCCATAACAATCTGGGGGTGGCCAGGTCTGGGGGGCTGGGGGGCTGTAGAAGCAAGAGCAGAGCCTCAGGTTGGCTGTAACCCAGGATGCCCCAGCCCTGCCACCTGGCCCTACACAGGCACATCCTCACATCCGTCACTGTCGCCCGGGACCAGAGGGATCGCTTTAACCAAGCATTCTTAAGGAGAATGGGCTGGAGAAGACGGTCCCTGGGAACCCTCTGGACTCCAGCCCAGAGAGCTGTGGTCCAGAGCCTGTCTTTCTCACCCAGCAAAAGCGCAAACCACTGAAGCTTCAGTGGCCACATAATGACCACTTGTTCTCCAGCCACTTTCTTCCATGTGGCTAAGACAGAAAGGTGCACTCAGCCTCGAGGTAACCTGAGCTTGCGCATCGGCCTGCTCCAGGCCCCTTCTATGTGTTCTTGAAGAAGAAACACATCTTTTGAGTGTGTGTCCCTTCCAAGATGGCTGGCCAGCGCAGCGCGCCTGTCCGCCGACTGTCCAGCACTGTGGACTCTCCAAGTCTGTTCTGAGCCTGCTGTGAATGAACAGAGATGGCGAAGGAGGGTGGCTCACTCTTGTCAGAAGACCCTGGATTTCTGTCTCCTGGGGGCCCTGGGAAGCACGGCCTTCTGACACCCCTGCTCCCGGTGTGTCCCTGGGCCACTATTAGGATACTGATGCTGTCCCCTGATGTTTATGGAGCACGAACAGCAAGGATGTGGTCCCTGCCTCCAGGGAGCTCTGTAGCCACCTCGGGAGCAGGTCCTGAGGGAAGAAGGGCTGGCGAGCTCTTCAGAACCAAATAATCTCATGTTAACATGCCTTGCCCTCTGCCCTGGGTCTGCCCTCTCACCCCGGCCCGGCAACCTCCAGCCTTCACCTGGCGTCAGGTGGATGAACAGCTGTCCTATACCCATCTGATTCATTACAGAGGTGGACAGGCTTTGGACAGCCGGTGAGGGACACCCTAGCTTTGCCAGCTGGCCCTAAAGGAATTCCAATAGTGGTCCCTCAGGAGAAAGCAACGGGTTAGCAGCAGGGGCTGTGGGTCAAAGCCATAAGACCCAGTTCAGCTCGGACCCTTTCTAGCTGTGTCTTTGGAAGCTCCTAACCTCCCTAGAGCCCCTGTCCTGTTCCTGTCCACAGTTGGAGTCTATCTTAACCCCCCTCGTCAGTGGAGGCAAGTAGCGAATCATGAAGGTCTGTGCAAGAAAAGAGCAGTTGCCTCCCGGCGGAAACATCCCCACCCCACCCCCAGCTGTGTGGGCCTGTTCCGGCCCCACCCTGAGCTTTCGCCTCCTTTGCACATTCACAACTTCTTTACCCTTTCAAGGCTGTGTTTAATGTTTCCTCGGCCTGATTTCACTCTTATAAAAACTTGGGGTGGAGCCTGGGGGTGGAGGGAGAGGCTGTTTTGGGGGAGCAGAGAGGATGACTCCCAGCCTCTAGCCCTGTGTGGGGCCGGGCCGCCTGGGTCCAGGGCTTGGAGAGTAAACTTGTTTCTTTTGTGCAGACCTGGAGCTTGCACTGAAGGCAGAGGGGCCTCTGTGGCAGCTGAGAACGGGTCCTTGGAAGCCGACTTGCTTATTGAGTCAGATTCACCTCTGCTGTCCGAGGGGCTGCAGAATGGCTTTGTCTTTCTCCGTTACCCATCATCACCCAGAACCAGCTGGACACGGAGGTTAGGGAAGGCCTGGTTGTCCACCGTCTCAGGGCAGAGCTCCTGGGCCCGGGCAGGAGGAGAAGGATGACGGGAACAAGCTGTGTAGGTGTGCAAAGGTCAAGATCTTGGGGTGCAGGGAAAGAATGCTGTCTCTGCCTCAGCCCCTTCCCACTGTAGCACTGAGCTCCCTGCCTGGCTGCTTGCTCAGGGAAGCTGCCCCCACAAAGCTCTGGTTGGACTGGTTGGGTAGAAGACAGAGGGGGCAGGAAGGCCTGTCCTCAGTACTGACCCCAGGAGCACAGAGGTGTGAACTGAGAGGCCAGGCAGTCTGGGACAGCTGTCGTGGAGGGACCCACAGCACCACACCTGACCCTCCCCATCACCCAATCTCTGCTGTCGAGGGTCAGGAGCTCTGAGGACAGGTGGGAGCTGGTCTCCCCATTGTCCTCTCCATCAGTCGAGGCCCACCTCCATGCTGGAGTCTCTGCACTGTACCCTTCCCTCTACTTCCGTGCAGTTAAACCTTTGCCTGGGATGTTCCAGAAGAGCTGTCTCCTCCAGGAAGCTGTTGTGAACGACTCCTGGTGTGTGTGTGTGTGTGTGTGGAGCTGTGATTCCTCTGTCTCATGGACCACCTCCGTGGGATGTCCCAGGTCCCTCAGATCACATCCTGTGTAGCCTGTTATATCTGGCGCTGCTGTCCTTCCTGCCTTTTGGTCCTGATCCCTCCTGGTCTCGCATCTTTTAAGACCCACCCCGTGTTAGAACTTCCACTCAAGAATCCATGACTATCTATCTTTTAATTTGAAATGCTTATAAGAGGCCATTTCGAGGAAGCCTTCAAAAGCTAACTGTATGAAAAAGGCCCTGCCTACCCTGACGCTCCTAGCTTCTGAGGCTCATTCTGAGCCGCTCGCAGGCTACGGTGCTTACACCTGTGGGATTCGGAGGCCCAGGTGCTCATACCTCCTTTCCCTGCTTGGCCCTCTCCTCCTCCTCCCATCAGGGCTGGGTGCTCCGGGCCTCACTGCCTCCCTTTGCTCTAGCCTCTTCCTCTGGGCTTGGAATCCTCTGCTTACAGAAAGCCTTCTTGGATGTATCAGAAGACAGGTGAGCACCGACGCTTCCCTGGCCCTGCTCTGCTTGGTCCTGGGGGCACCTGCTGACCCTACCATCTCTATATGTGTATTTGCCTGGCTGCCTTCTCCTGGGTCAGCCCTGGAAGGTCCTCCACAGATAAGGCCCATCCCAGGTATGGCAATAGGGGCCCTGGGGACATCCGGCTCACCTCGGGAATGGCTTTAAAAAACACTTTCCTGACCACTTTAACTATGGCTCCAAATCTGTGTGCCAAATGCTCATGGCTGGGACAGCTCTTTAAAGAGATTCTTGTTCCCTGTGACTCTTTACAGATTCTGGTGAATCTCAGAAACCTGGCAGGGCAGAATTAGGGCCAGAGCAATTGGGAGCAGCTGGAAGAACAACCGTCCCTCCCTGGGACAGCACAGGCTGGTCTCCCGCCTGCTGGCCAAGCAGCTCCCTGCCCTGTGCCCACTCCTTTCTCATGGTTCTCCCTCCAGGAGCTCCGATAGACCCTGTTCTCTCCCAGGCTGCCCTTCAAGGCCGCCCTTTACTCCATCCTCAAATCCTCCCAACAGTGGCCATCTTGGTTCTGCAGCTGCTCTGACAGAAGAGCCTCTAGTCTCAGATCTGGGCCACATTAGTGGTTCTGAAGGGTTTCCTCTTTTTTTTCCCCCAACAGAAACATCTTCTAAATCTCAGAAGGAAGATGGCTTTATAATGCCATGGGATCATTCCCAGGTATCCATGGAAGATTGGTCCAGGAACCCTGAGGATAACAAAACCCAAAGACACTCTGGTCCCTTCTACAAGATGCTGTAGAATTTGCTTGCTGACAACACAACCCAGGACAAGGAAAGGCCTGCACCGTTGGGTGCAGGTGCGGTTTTCTCTGCCGGGTCTGGCTGAACCGTGGACCCAGGAAACAGCTGTGCATCTAATCCTGTATTTAGCTGGAGAACAGCCGAGCTGTGTCATCCGCTCCCCTGCTGCTGGGCTGTGTCCTTTGCCTGCTGTGACGTCCCAGAGGCTCCTGAGGAGTCTGAGGAGCAGGTGGCAAGGCCTTGCTCCGCCCATCCCTTTGCCTCCACACGGCTCTCCCCTCTGTCTCAGAACCCACACTGACCCTTGACCGTGACGGGCACATGCCTGTCTCAGCATCTACACGGCCTTCCTCTGTCCTCACTGCTCTCTTCTTGTCCACAGGCTTGCTCCATCGCTTCTTGTGGGTATTTTGTGCAAATGTCACCCTTCTGAGTTGTCTTTCAAAAATGGTAACCTGCTCTGCTGTCTTAGGGCTCTCTCCATCTGGCTTATCTTGCTCTGATCACTGTGTGTGTGTGCATGTGTGTGTGTGTGTGTGTGTGTGTGTGTGTGTGTGTGTATGATCATATGTGTCTGTGCATGTGTGTGCGTGTGTAGCAGCAGCACATACCCATGTGTGAGCTTGTGGAGGTCAAAGGCCAACTTCAGTTATCTTCCTCAGCTCTTCTCTCTCCTGTTTTCCAAAGCACGGTCACTTCACAGCTTGTTTTGGCCGAAGAGCTCTGCAGATTTACCTGTCTCTGCCCTGTTGCGCTGTGGTTGGAGATGTTTGTGACCACACCCTGCTTTTTAGGTGGTGCTGAAGATCCAAACTTAGGTCCTTCTGTCCACATGGCAAACACTTTCCCACCAAGCCATCTGCCCAACCCTGATCTTTATTCTTTTAGCACCTAAAACCGTTCTAACACGCTGTATAACCCACACCATCCATGTATCTGCTTTTGTGTGTCCTCCCCTCATCCCCAAAGAAGCCAGCTGGGAGTAGGCATTTTGCCAGTCTTCGGTGGGGTCCCTAGCATTTACAGTTGCTCTGAGAATTTAGTAGGTGCTTATCT